GTGCCCCGGGGGTCCCGGGTCCTGGGCAGGCTGCCGGCAGGCTCCTGGCTCTCGGAGCCCTCCTCCTCCTCCTCCTTCTCCTCCTCCTCGTCCTCCTCCGTCTCTTGGAGCGGTCCCTCTGCCCTGGGGTCTATCACGTCCCAGGGGGCAGGGATGGCATGAGCCCCCAGGAGGCGGTCCAGAGCCTGGAAGTGGGGGCACGCCTCCAGGTCGGCCCCTGGCAGGCAGGCCCGGGCGTAGGACTGCCGCAGGTCCTTGATTTTGCAGCGCACCTGCTCCCGGCTGGGCTGGTGGGCCCCCGCGGCCCGGCGGGGGGCGTCTACACTACAACGTTAATTCGAACGTTGGTCTGCTGGCTGGGTCTGCTGGCTGGGTGCTGGCAGGCTTGCACCTGGCACGGGCACCGTAGCCAGCCCATGCCCCTTTAAGAGGTCCAGGGCCAGGAGGGGGGCAGACGAGTTTCCCTGGTGTTGGCCAGAGTGGCCACCAGGGCAAGCTGGGAAGGGCTAGCCTCCCACTAGTTCGAATTAAGGGTCTACACAGCCCTTAATTTGAACTAGTAAATTCAAACTAGGCTTAATCCTCATGGAATGAGGATTACCTAGTTCGCCAGAGTGGCCACCAGGGCAAGCTGGGAAGGGCTAGCCTCCCACTAGTTCGAATTAAGGGTCTACACAGCCCTTAATTTGAACTAGTAAATTCAAACTAGGCTTAATCCTCATGGAATGAGGATTACCTAGTTCGAACTAAGCGCTCCGTTAGTTCGAATTAAATTTGAACTAGCAGAGTGCTAGTGTAGCGCCTATGAAAGTTAGTTCGAACTAACGTCTGTTAGTTCAAACTAACTTTGTAGTGTAGACATACCCTAAGTTCCTTGGGCAGAGGTCACCTTTCCAGTATGTATGTACATAAAACCTAGCACAATAGGTCCCCAGATTATAACTCTAGGCATTACATACAACTACAAAATTATAATAATAATAATAAGAAGAAAGATGGTGGTGCAGCTCTGCTGAGTCAAGTACAACAACCCAACTGGGTGGGAAATTAACTGACCATTGAATGAATTAAGGGGCATGTAGCTTTCCTACTAATGTAATTTTGACATTCCCTGCAGGAGCAACAGCTAAGAACATTGAGAGCTACATGATACCACCTGGCATCATGTTTGGAGCAGGGACGCATGAACAGGGAATTGCTGTGGTAGTGCGAATAAATGTTTTATATTTTGCTCTGTCACTGTTAAAATGCACTGACAAATTTTGTTGCAATTTTATTTTGTGTTGCCTTCCTCTTGTGATAGCCTGTAGCACCAGTTTTAATTTAATCTTCCTCTGAAATCAAATTTAAGCCATTATCCTTTAGGTGGTATTGAAAATGGGCAATTGTTGGATATAACCTTTAAGTTCAGCAGCAGCTAAATAAATGCTCAATACATTTCATGTATCACCCTCAAAGAGGAAGCCTAAAAGAGCAGCTGACTGCTGCTACCACAAAGGGAACTGCTGAGGTACAACACATTTATTTACTTACTGCTCTGGTGTCTGCTGAGGACGGCTGGAGATGTAACTACGACATTCATCAGGAGCCGATGATGCTTGGCCTTTGTCAATAACAACACTTCCCACCTCAGATCTATGAAGACAACACAGATGGGCAAATAAAGCTAACAGGTGGCGTATCTTGCATCTCGTATACCTAATGTTGTTCCCTGATCACTGAATCCAGCGCTTTTGAAGATCAAATTTAGATGTGTGCCTCCATTATAACAGCCTTCAGCCTACGCACATATCAACAGCAGAAATGTACGGGCACAGGGAATTAAGGCCAAGATTAGGGCCCTGTGTAGGGCTTTTAAAAACCATGCTCCCACTATTATGGCAACAGGTTCTGAGGGACCATGCAGTTCCAGTCCCATGCAGGACTCTAATTATTTACAAAAGCTAAAAGCATTTTTGGAAGCTATATTTTGAGGGTGTTCAGTGTGAGGTGCCTTGAAGCCTGACCATCAGAAAGCATCGTCACTCTTGTTCAATGGTGGTCTGCATGTCTCGGAGACCAAGAATACCATGCAACAAATCTGATGCTGCCCACTTACATGAGACTAATGCATTTAACTCCATTTGAAGTTCCCTTTTGGATCCATACGTATTCTTTAATGTGACACATCCCAATCACAGGACAGCATTTCATGTTAATAAAGCAATGTATCAGGACTAGGCTTCTTTTGTATCATGCTCCCTAGACATTCTGACAAACAGCTCTTGGCACCTCAAGAAACTGATGCTAATACTAGGCCAGGCAGGTGAGGGATTTGCAATCATCCCTTCACGCTCAACCTCCCCCCTACTCCCCTTTTTCTGCCCCCTGAATTTCCACAGCTTTGCTATCCTACCTCCTATATATCAGCTATTTCTGTTGGGATGCACATTTTTCATGGGCTACTTCCACAGCTGCCTCACTCACTTTATTAATTTTAAGTGTGGCTGCTGACACTACCACACTCACACTAGGTGCTAGCGTGTCCTAACAAGATGAAAACAAACAACCCTTTGGACTTTCTTACATTTGTGTTCAGCATAATAAGTTGTACAGAATATAAATCATTCAGACACAATTCCCTCCCAGACACAAACTTTTTGCTCCCCAGAGGTTTCGGCTCCTGCTCAGTTGTTTCATCTGTTTTCTTCCCTGGAATTAACTTTTCAGCACTGTCCAAAAGGGCGCTGAGTGCCACCCTTCTAAAAACATTCCCATGAGCCTCTTTGATAAATTGGACCAATTGTCGGATGTCACAGTACAATCCCTGAATGACAAAGAACACAGAGAGAGAAAGTTACGTTACTCGTCAGTTACGTTACTCCTCAGTAGGTATATAAGCAGGGAGGGTAATAAATATTCTTTTTGTATGTAGCCAGCATGACGCACTAGTTCATGAAGAACTGCATGGCTTAGTAATTTTACCTGCTGTTTTCTAACTTGATCTATACCTACAGGTTTATGATTTCTTGTTAATGCCAAATGTTTCCCTTTCTAAAGAGAAATAATTTAACTAAGGAAAGGTTGCAGCTATCCCTCACGTTGATCTATTAACCATCATAAGCCATAAGCATGTTATTATTGTTATAGAGGGCATATTCTGTAGTTGACTATGGCAGTTTAAAAGTATACCAGGGGTTCTGTATCCCAGGATCTGGGAGCTGCAAAGGTGATTTGAACTCTCTTTCATCCCAGGGGGTATGGGCAATTGCAGCTCCCGTTGGCAATCTCCGGTCCTGGCTAACGGGAACTGCAGGAAGTGGTGTCCCAGCCCGCACTGCTTCCCGCTACTCTCATGGGCTGGGAACTGCAATCCATTGCCAACGGGAGCTGGGACTGCCTGTACCTGCAGTGGTGCAGGTTAACCAAGCATCTCCAAGCCAACTAGTGATTTGTCCTTAAAAGCCATGACTCAGAGTCTGAAAACTCCTGTTATCTCATTCATCTAACCTAGCGTCTTGAAATGCATGACAAATCCTAGTGAAAAAAGCAGAGTGACACAAAACTGCACACCATGCTTTGAAACCTGTTGGCATTTCAGATTTTTTTAAATTATTTCAATGGATTATGTCACGGCAATAGGGAGGAACGATTCGTACATTTACCAGTCTAGCTCTCACAGTTAGATTTTTGTTTACTTCAGTACATTTGCATGTACAACTGTAGCCCCTGGGAGGAGTTGGTATGGAAAGGATATCCCTATCTTTCAGGGAGAGACCTTTCCAAAGGACTCAACTAGTATTTCAGGAGATTTCCTGAGATCCCTCAGCCTATGCTATAAATTCCAGCTATGGAACTACATGACCAATATTCAGATCATTTGATGGACCTACTCTCATGTTTGAAGTTAGGCATGTGCTTATGTACCTTGCTGAACTGGGGTTTCAAGCACCTACTCTTTACCCTGGAGAGGCATACATCTTCTCTTGGGGTGTGTCTAGACTACAGAGTTTTGTCAACAAAACTATACCTGCGTCTACACTACCGCTGAGTTCTGTCGACATAACGTCGACAGAACTCAGCAGTTTTGTCGACGCTGGTAAACCTCATTTTACGAGGCATAACGCCTTTTGTTGACAGAGTTCTGTCGACAGAAGGTGTTATTGCCTGTAGGGTTGTGTCTAGACTACAGGGTTTTGTCGACAAAGCAGCTTGCTTTGTCGACAGAACTGAATGTAGTCTAGACGCTCTTTGTCAACAGAAGCTTTGTCGACGTATCTGTTGACAAAACTTCTGTCAATAAAAGCGTGTAGTCTAGACATACCCTTGTATGCCTTTTCTTCCTAATTTAGCCCATAATAGGTGTTTGCCCTCTTCCCAAAGCTACATGTTAGTGTAGTACAATTCAAAGTCTTTGCTCAGAAAGAGTTCCAAGGGAGAAACACAGAGACACAGCAGGTCTGGTTTGAGTTAACCTAGCTAGACTGTTCTCGGAAGGTTTGCACAGCTTCTACCAAAACTTGGTGACATCTAGATCATGTAAACCAGCATATCTCCACTGAATGCAATGGAACTATTCTGATTTATCCCAGGTGCGATAATAGTAATAATCTAGCCAATTATTCCTAGCCCTGGTTTAGTGCTGCTAGAGTTTTCCTTTCATTAACATCAAATTCGCAATAAACAATTACACAGATTAAATCCTCATTTGCAGACAGAGAGGCTCAAAGGCCAAATTTCAGCTGTGGAACTACGTGACCAATATTCAGATCAGATGCTGGCTGGATAGGATTTGCCCTACTGACACCTGAAGGATGACTTTTTCTTAAACCTGTCTAGCTACCCAGGCCAATAAAGTCTCATTGAATTGAACCCTCATTTTCAAGCCCAGCTGCTGTATGAGAGTGAGAGGAAATTCGGCTTGTAAAGCCTGCACATAAATCCTCACCAGGTTTTCAGGGCTATGCAGTTCATGTGTAGTGGAAGCACAGCGAGTGATCAGTGACTTGAACATTGCACTGACAATGATACCTTCCACACTTTGGGCTGTAGACTTGTTGTCCATTGTGGTGAAGTTATTTCCAAATCCAGCCTTATCTGCAAAATGCAAGAACAATTAACCACATGGTTGAGATGCATTAACAAATTATAGTTTAAAAATAATGATGTATTTAAATGTATTAAAAGATGTAAATTAGTGGGATGCCCTCGCTCTTAACCATGTGTTCAATGCTGGTGACTCTAACTCATAAAGAAAACAGCAGATATAAGTGGCACAAATAAGAAGAGGGATAAAAAATCTGCCATTTGAAGAGAGATTGAAATGATCAAGGCAGTTTATCCTCACTTTATTGCCTCTCTAAAATAGGGGAATACAAAACAACAAATGGAATAGGAAAGGTAATTCAGGTTTTCCTGTTTTCTGGCTCATATAACACAGAGGAAGGGGGCACTCAAATAAACTGAACAGCAACAAGCTTAAAACTGACCAAAGGAAATTATTTTCGACCAATGGAATGCTGCTCTCACGAGGTACTTTGAAGGCCAAGATTTTAGAAGAATTCAAAAAACAGATTAACCCTACATCAGAATGACAAAAATATCCACCGTTTCTTTGGAGAGAAAAAAACAAACATTCAGAAGAAAGGGCTTATTCCTTGATGTTATAAGCCAATATCCAATTGACGGATATTTAGAAGAAATATGCCCTCTGGGCAGGTTTATTGTCCACTATGGTGCTTCTTGCACCTTTCTCTGGAAGCGACTGGAATCACGCAAATAAAGCATGGGATTTAAATATCCCGCGCTTCATTAGCATGTTCCCGGGCGGTCGCCATTTTGGAAACTGACCAGCCTGGAATAACTGCCTGCGTCTACACGCGGCATTGAAACGGGAGTTCGAAGTAAACCCCTTAACTTGAATTAGCTGTTAAACCTCATTCCACGAGGAGTAACAGCTAATCCGAGTTAGGGGTTTACTTCGAACTCCCATTTCACTGTCGCGTGTAGACGCGGGTAGTTATTCCGGGCTGGTCAGTTGCCAAAATGGCGACCGCCCGGGAACATGCTAATGAAGCGCGGGATATTTAAATCCCATGCTTTATTTGCAATTTCAGTCACCCTCATTAGCCCCCCTAGTTTGAACTAGGGGGCTAGTGTAGACGTACCCAAGGACAAGAACTTCTTGTGTGTTTTGATATGGCAATTCCTATATTCCAAATGCCTCCCATTAGCTACTTGTGCACATACTGATCAACGTACATGTATCATCATCATAATGATACACAGAATTGTTAGTCTCCGTTAAAAACACTGGACCTACACCGTATGCACATACATATGAATGCTCATATTCTTGTTTACATGATCTGCTTTAGAGATTTGCTGCCTCACCTTAGGCACTGCAGAGAGATTTCATGCTCAATTTTATCTCCATTCAGAATAAACACAGAACACACAGTCCACTCCAGCTGGCATTCGGTCAAGTCATTAAGCAGAAAACCGCCTGCCTGAGGCATAGTTGAGAGAAAATGTTCCTTCATAAAGCCATGAACAAACGGGTAGGAGGCATCAAAAGAGGGGGGACAAATGCTTCTCTCATTCTAACTGTACTCTAAATAAAAGGCATGTATAGGGCCAGACCCTCAGGGCTGTAATCTGAAGTCATTCCAGTGACTTTAAGGGAGCGATACTGATCTATGCCCACTGAGGATTTGACCTTGTATTTACAGTTATTTTTTGCCTTTAGAAATTCACTGAGAGTTTTTGAAAATGGCAGCCTGCATCCTTGATGGTGGAAAATGACACCACCATAGAGGTGATGCGATGCCAGCTATACTTACTGTCAGTGACTGGCTCCATGCAGAATCCTAGCAAAGCATGAAGGAAATCTACCACATTATTGAGGGAATCTCTGTTCACATAGTCCCTCATGGTCTGCCGGAACTGAATTTTATCCAACTTGTACAGCTTTGTGAGGCAATTCTGAGCCTGTGAAGACATTACAAAAATGAGAGATATCTTCTTGAGTTTTTATGTCAGTTGCAGGGTCCTTCAAGTATGTTTTTGCCCTTATTTCACCAATACTGTGTTGTCAAAAAATAGCAAAAAAAATCATATGCCACAATGAGATATGATCTTTCAGCTGATGCCAAACATACTAGTAGGAGCCATCACACCATATTAGCTTTTGGATCTGATGTTAAATCAAGCTTACTCCTTTCCTCCTCTTGCAGCCCTCCAAATGGAAGTTAAAATTACACTGCAGCTGAAATGACTAGGAACCCATTTACCCTGGCCAATATTTACAGTATAAATATTAAGAAAAGAGGCTCTTTTGAAGGGGTTTCAGATTTTGAGCCTCTGGCCCATATCCAGCCCTCTTCCTGTGTTTATCTGGGTCTAATAACCAACTCAGATTCTGCAGACTGCAAACTTCTATTTTAAAAAAATCAGTATTGACTCTTTATTGCAAAGTTAATCATCCCCATGTGACCCAATGCCAAAACCCTGATGTAAATCTGAAGAGATGGGCAAACTGTCCTATTTCTTGCAATGTGCACTTGGTTCTGATGCCTAGTGGTAATAGTGTCATTTTCAAATAACTTGGATGCACAATTTTGCATACAGTTACCACAGTGGTGCATCCAAAACAGCCTAGCCAAATAACAGTAGAAATAGCAATCATCCCAAGACTCCACTATAAATCTCTTTCCATAAAGACCACAGCATGTCCCACTGAGGCTACTGGGATTATTCACATACTTAAACTTAAGCATGTTCCAAAGTGTTTTACTGGAGCAGGCCTAAAAGATGTAAAACTTAGCCTTAATTTTACTAACTATAAGTTTGGTTGCTATGTACAGATCATTGTGGATCCTTGTTCTTTGTGTGAACCTCCCACTGCCATCATTGGCTTTTCTACCACCCAATGATGGCTGGACATGACACTAGCATTGTAGCCTGGTCTCTCTGGTATCATAATTGCAAACAGAATTTAGCCCACTCCACAGAGTGGGTCTGATAGCCTTGTTCTAAGGCATGATCCAATTCACACTAAGTCCTGGGAAAGGCTCCCAATAATGTCAACAGACTTTGGATTAGGCCTCTACTGTTCAAGAGTATAACGTGAAGTACAGCTGACTGCATTGTGGATGCTATGTTTGCCCACATAGTCACCATCAGAATCTTCCTTACTGCTTTGGAAAGCATTTTGGAGAAGCGTGTGCAGGAAGACACTATAGAAAAAGAAATTATTTTCTATTTTTTTCTTAGTTTTACATCCCTGGCAGTTTGTATAGACAGGAAAATCGTGGCACAAATTACAGTGAAACAGGAGAGTTGGTGAATTAGGGTATAAAACAAAACAACAACAACAAAAACCAGCACATAGACATTTGGAATTGCCTGATGACTATTTTGTATTTTCAGTTTAAAACAAAATTCTAATTTTTGTCTCCATAAAAACAACTAGCTGGATCCTCTAGTAGAGTCCAGCTGTTCTGCATTGCACTTGTCAGCATAATCTGAATTTAAAGATGTAGAACCTAGTCTGAGGATCACACTACTGCAAAGAAGTATAGGTCTGATTTAGGGACTTA